CATGAATATTAGCAATCTGTGGCAGAACTAATTGCAGTGAAATGTCAGCTGTTTTTTTTTTTTCCCAGAAAGTGTCACTTGCCCTTATTATTAATACTATTCTAAGCTTGTATGAACTATAAAACCAAAAAGTGTGTTTGTCTAACAAGATATTCTATACTTAAAAGTCAGACTGAAAAGTTTTTTAGCAATAATTTTTGTTAGTGTAATTTAAACTTAACATAATTTCTGGCCAACAATATGTAAATATCCACTATTGAAACTGACTGATTTTTATGAAGTGGAAAGAGAAAATACAAGAGTATGTGTTATCATACTAGTTACGAACCATTAAGGCTACTAAATCACATAATATTTACAGTGGGAAAATTTACTGCTGTTACACTGAACGATTTTGCTGTTCCATTCAGCTGCCTTACAAAATTAATGACATATTACTGCATGCTGACAAAAGTAATAACCCTCACCAATTCTTAGTAAATATTGCCAACCTGACAGTTTTGTACAAATGAATGACAATATTTTGACCAAAGAGAACAGAGAATGGAAAAAAATGAAGAGCAAGATAAACGTAACAGACTACTGAAGCTGAAAACCATGTTTTACTAGTTATTAAACATTGTGGAAATGTTTAATATGGAATGTGGAAACATTTCCACAGCTAACAACCATCTCATGCAAAGCTTTGGCTTTTTGCTTGTTCATGTAAAGTCAGATTTTTACGTGCTGCTCTGTTTCTTCTGAAAAACTTGCCCGGGTTCTTTGAAGAACGTGTTTTCCACCTATATGTCAAGTATTGATTCTCCTTTAAAGAAAAATACAAGTATCTATGATATCTTATTATCTGAATTTTATATAAGGCAACAATTCTTTGATGGTTTTTAATTTTTCTTTAATAAATAAGTGACAGCTGCTGTGGTTGAATTTTATTAGCACCCCTGGGACCCCAGCTATCTTAGGTAACAAATGTACTGAATTTTCAAAGACTCAGAAAACACCCAGTGTTTCCCTGTACTTATGCAGTAAGCTGATACACTCTTTATTCCCTAGAGGAGAGGTATCAAAGACAGTTGTACTCCCAAACTCTTCACAATGTCCAATCAAGGCAAGCTGAGCTTCTGTTTCTACAGTGAACAAATCTCCTCTTTAAGTACAACAACTTCAGCCTCCCCTTCTCTAACAAAGTGAACAAGGGAGCCCCTCAACAACCATTATTAAACCAGGACTGTAAAATGTTTAATTCTTGACATCCCAAGTATATGGCCTCATCACTAAATTGAAGAATTTGCCTCTTTCATCACCTTTTCCTGGCACTATTTCAGTTATTGAATGCATGGTTAAACAATAACTGATCTGAGAAGACCCTCACTGTACAAACCTGGATGAGCCATTCAGGCAAAAGATATTAGAGATAGATTAAAATTACTCTTTTAATCTACATTTATTTATTTATATAATTTACAATTACTTTTTTAAAAAAAGTGAAATATCTTCAGAGCAGAATTCTCATTATAAATGGAACAGTCACTCATTCTCAGGGGAGGGACTTGAACTTCAGTCTCTTGTGCACCAAATAACTGTTTCTGTCAAAAATCAGTGTTTCCCACTAGAGAAAGTTTCAACAGAAAATTTCTGTTTTAACAAACAGAAAGAACGAAACAAAAGAGCAAATCTATGCAGTATTTTTGTACTGTATTTACAGGACATTGCCAGTTTCTTTTGTTTTAAATATCTTTTTTAGTAAGAATTTGTTTTAATTTAGCATTTGTTACATTCTTACTGACTTACTAGCATATTTTTCTTTTTCACACTTGTTTTTCTTAAATAGGTTTTGTCCTACTACATTTTAATGTATTTACATGTGTTTCTCACATTAGGTACAATTTTCTCCATTCTTCTTTTCCTACAATCTGTTCTCTATCTAGTTGCTTATTTGTTCTCTTCATATTCGTTCATATTTCAACATTTCGTTTACACTACCGAGTTTGAATTTTCAAATTAACACAATAATGCTATCTCTTCATATAAACCCTTGTCACCTAGTCACAATACCTCTTACACAAAAGACTGAATCTACACAATAGGGCTAGATACAAAACATGGAATGAGAAGCATTACCTACAGGAATTGCAAAGATGAAAAGAAAAACGTATTTCTAGCTACTTGAATTCTCACCACGATTTTTCTCTTTGAATCTTTTCTCTGTAATGTGCAGCAGCCCCAAAATACCAGAATTTTAAAACACAAAATTTTAAGTCCATACATTGCTCCTTTGCTCCACACATGCTTGAGAAGTGGGGTTTCTTAATTCTTTTTCCTCATAAATGTTGCATCAGAGAGAAACAGTTTTTACTCTTCCCTTAATTTCCCGTTTAGAAGTATCAGCTCATCCTGCTCAACCCACTGCTCACCGATAATCCCAGCTGCTGCATCCCTGTTTTCAGTTTTTCCAAGAATTTAACTGAGAAGAGAAGCAAAGAGAAAAGCAGTAAAGTTGTGCAGTTTGGCCTATTTAGAGGGTGGTTTTTTTGCTTGTGTGGGTTTTTTGTTTTTGAAAAGCAGGTATTTCTGAATTAGTTCCTGCACATACGACATTCAAGCACTACTTCTGTAATTCCAATTTTAACTTTTTTAATTAGAACCTTATCTTCAACAAACGTTTTATGCTGGCTGCAATGCCTGCATGTGTTGCTAAGTCACATTAGATCATGGGAGTTTTCAAATCCTACGTATCATTATTCACTCCAAATTCCCGTAAGTCTACTAGGAAAAAAAAAAAAATCCATGCTCTCTTGCTATTTATCATCTAGGCTACTTATTTTAATTCCCTAAGTGATGTAAGTGACTAAATCAACTAGAGGACTGAATACCAGAAAAGAATACAATTTTTACCATGATTTTGATCATATGGAGTCTTTACACCCAGTCTATCATCATTTCCTGCATTTAGAAATGTAATTAATATGAACTGTGCCTGAAGCTGACAGGATATCAGCATGTACCTATATGTATTCTCTTTTTAGCCATAACCAAATGATTCTAAATACTTTCAGTGGGGTGCAACTTCCATAAAATATTGCCTTATCTAACCAGACACACAACCAATTCCCAGTACAGTGATTACAGGATACAAAAAAAACCAGCAACACATTATTTAAACAATATTTAATGACATAACTGAATTTGATTTAACACAACTGAATACAATCTATTCTTCATTTTGCCTGCAAAAATTTCACTGCAAATAGTATGTCCTAAACATGTAGCACAGTTACCAGAATTTTGAGATGCACAAAAAGGGACAGTAGGTTTTACAGTAGCTGGAATCACTGAACTAAAGAGAACTACAAATTTAAAAACCATATTATGGAAAAGCTCAAAGGTAAGAATATAAAGTTTGATGTACCAATGTTGTTTAATGATTACATTTTTGTAAAAACATGTTCTCATCCAACAATTGGGACTTTTTCCTGTATTGTTTTTTTAAGAAGCATTCAAAATGCAGAGATAAATAATCTGGTTTTAAGTGTAACTGCCATTTGAGAAAAGAGAGGTTTGATCTCTGTCACAGTGGCACAAATCACTGCATAAAATAAATAAAAATAACAAAACAGAAAAAAAGAAAAGAAAAAAAAAAAAAAGTTCTCCTCAACCAGAAATAACCCTTACAAATTATCTGTTAAATTAGGGTTAGTATCCCAGTTTGAAATACTCAGTCTCTCATGTTACCAAGACAGCAGCATCTCTAGGAAAGAACAAAAATGCAAGCATGTAAGCACTGTACAAAAACTGAAGTAGCTACAGCTATTTGGGTTTCTTGGGAAATGTTTTGGAATCAGCACTAGAAGTCCCATACTGGACCTACCATACACCTGTATTGCACTCAGTAATCCTGAGGTACTTTTTTTTCTGTCTCAATCTGAATCTTGATTTATAACGAAATAAAAAACTTTATGTTAGGAAAAGATAAGCCTCACTTTCACAGGGCTAGGTTTCTTTTTCTCACGAAGTATAGTCTGATGCTTTTGATAGTGAGTAACACAAACAAAAAATAACTTAATGGCCTAATGTTTTTATATGTTTTCTTTCTTTGCTTTATTGAAAAGAAGTACCATTTTTAATCCAGAATACTTTAAAGACAGCTGCAAAAATTATCCATCAACCGCAAAAATTAATCACCTAGGAAAATATGTAATAGTAACAATGACAACAATGATATTTAGAGTAGAACATTAGCTCAACTTGGCAAATATAACAGAAACAATGAGTTTTTAAAAAACTCTTCTCATGTTTATTACAGGAAGTTTCCTTTAGGTTGCAGTGTGCACATGATTAATTACTCCTGCAATGTTCCAATGACAAAAACATAACACAAACTGTCCACTGTCTCTCAAATAGAAATAACAAAATAGTGTCAACAAAATATGAATGTTTTGTCAAATATTGGTAAGTAAATCAGAATGAATTGGTAATCAGTGCAAATCTGAAAATGACTGCGCCTTTTAATAGATTAATAAATTCAGTACAAGCCCAGTAAAATGATTGTGTGTTATCATGACAGCCCATGTTACCATTAGATTACAGAAGTCACTGAGCAATAATACGTACAAATTAAATGAATTACAAAAGAAAACAATCCAAATTGTAACAAATTTCTGCAGTGTCTTCTGCTGCATACCATCACCTGCAAAGGGCTCTTGTCATAGTATCTGCCATATTAAATGGTGTGCCCAATACAACAACATGACATGCAACTAAATTTTATTTTACTGCAAGACAGGAACTTGGTTCCACCAGAAGAATGTTCCAACAAAACAAAAAAAGTATCCCACCCCCCCCCCCCCCCCCCCCCCCCCCCCCATCAGAAATACAGTGATCACACCATAACATATAGAATACTGATTAAAAAATTAAAACATCACAGGTTCACAGTTCTTCATGCACAGGCACATACGTGCACATCCACAGCACACATCTTGCATCCTTGAACCTTCACTTACCTCAATAGCTCTCTTTATGTACGGTATCTGTGTTCCACTGTCCAGATCTTCATTAATTATGAGTCTCCTAGCCCACTGACCAGCCCTGACAACACCATTACCATGAATTAGGACCAACAGCTTGTCAGGATTTACTAATGCATCTTCACTCATAAAGATAAAGCTCTTTGGTTCAGACTCAACTGCATCAACCTGCAATTACAGATAACACACATTTCAATGCAGCAATGTAATTCTTTGAAAGAAAACCTTTAGTTAAAAAGTTATCTACCAAATTTATATTAAAAAAATCACCATTAAACAACCATTTCAATGCATGTGTGCCCAGGACTAAATAAAAATAAAGCAAAATATGCAACGTAACTTTGAAACATGTAAACACACCACATTTTAGAACAGCAATCCAAGGGACATTTAAAATTAAGAAAAGGGGTAGAAGGCGTACTTAAGCTTTGAAACATAAGTTGTTTACAAAAATTTACAGGAAAGGAAGAAAGTCCATAAATGAGCAATTGGAGGTGGCAAGAGGGAAAGGAGTAAGTAATTTCTCACCTCTGCCTGATATGCCTGAAGCAACAATAAATTCTTACATAATATGAAAAAAACCATCCAGGAGAGTTCCAAATCAGCCACCTTAACATAAATACTCGATAAGCTGCATATAGGAACCACTACTGTAAATTTGTCTGTTACAAATTTAACAGTATAGGTCTAATAAAATATAGAAATCCAATTTGGTTCTAAATAATAGCTTCATTAATAGTCCTCCTGTACCATGGTCAATGCTTAGCTACTTTGCTATAGGAAGAGACCAACAATTAGCTTTGATATTCAGCAAATTGTAACCTAATAGCACATTTTGTGCCTAAGAGAATAAAGCAGCATTTTTTGATCAATACAAACTAAAGTTTTTACACTTGGTTTAGCAATCCTGTCTCAAGACAAAAGAACTGTCCTGATGTAAATACCATAAGGGCAAAACAAATCCTCATGTCTACCTGTTGTTCTCTTTCTACTATATGAATACACAGAAAAGAAAGAACAAAACAGGCACATCTCCCTCTCCTACTGTAATCCACACCCCTTGACTCTTACAGCCTAACTGTCCAGGTGCTAGGAACACTCTATAACAGAGAAGAAAAACATCAGGTTATGATCCCCATGCTGAGATAGAAGGAATTGGCTACTTGGATTAGTTTTGGTAGTTTTTTTCTCATATATGGGTATGTATTCTTAACTACCCTTATAAAAGGAAAAATTATTTCTGCATGCATCTTCATACTTAATATAAGTCCCACCAAACGTTTGTTAAAAATTAAGTCAATGAGGTTACTTAAACAAAACAAATTTGTAAATGAAAGAATGGTCATGTCTCTCTTCAATATTTGCCATAGCACTGAACACCTTATTCCCCTGCTCCAAAATAAAGTAACGTCTCACAATACTCACTTTCTCTCACACTTTATGCAAAAATAGAAAATATTATAAACAATATGTTCTATTGAAAAGACTGGGGCTACAGTCAGATCATGCTGCTGCTTCTGAAATAGCAGTACTGACACCTTAAAGGGTAAAACAGATTAGGTAAAAAGTCAGCCAACACTGAATTTCAGATAGTACTTGGCAATATGTAACTGACTTCTACCCACAAACTGAATATTTACAACACTATAATTAGGAAAAAAAATCATGAATTTGCATTTCAGAGTAATGTGCAACTTAGCTGTAGGTTTTAGCATATCACTTATATTGCAAGTGCTAAAGTTTATATAGTAGTATATAGGAAATACCAGCACTTAGTAGTCATATGTACTAGAAGATACAGCTTAGTTCACATTTCTGCAAATAAGTTAAACAGCTAAAAATATGCACCAAAATCATAAAAAAATTACTTTTGAGTCTTTTCCCAAAATTAAACACATTTAGAGACTTTTTGTTGAGCTAATTTACCTTCAAACAGTAGTAATTTATTAGATCTTGCTTTCATTAAAGAATGCATGTAAATATCACTCCTATACACAACCTTCCTTTACTGACAGATCAACATAGAATACCATTTAATGTCAGACACATGGAGGCCACATGAAATACTTTATCATTATTAGCCACCTGTTCTTCTGGACTTACTCACGGTCACTGATTTCTGATCACTTAAATCTAAACTGAATAAATACAAGAAAATTGTTTTTAGATTAATTTAACAATTTGATTCAACATTCTTATGTACAGGTGAAAACAATTCCAGTAATCTGTAGCTAGGAATGCCAAACCTATCTAAATTATAATGATAATTTACTGTTTAAAACTACCAGTTAATTTTCTTTTTCTTGGATTTTTTTCTCAATGCACAATATTTCCTTAAAGTTTATGAATGTAGGCAGCTATGGTGAGATCTCTACATATATTATGAGATTCTTAAGGTTTTCAAACAGTGAACTTACTTTTTCCATATGATTTCTGTCTCAAATGAGTTTTCACAAATACAGCAGTACCAATCTACAAAGTATTTCAGCAGCAGCGCACTAGTTAGTGTTTTGCACAGCTGCTATGAATATATAAAGTAAAATTAAACTACTCTTGAAATCTAATCTTATTGTCATCCATGCTACCACATCAACAATTAGCCATTACTAACCCAAGATTTACAAGACCTGACAGGGTTCCAGGAGTCTTTTATTCAATACACTGGGGGTTTATAAGACTGAATGTTAAAAAGGGAAGAAAATACACAATTACTTTTCTTATTATTTTTCTTACTAAGTATTTTTCTTATTTCAGTTGAGAAACATGACAAAAATTATAAGCTTTGAGCCACAAAGTAGGTATAAACTGTAACTGCAGGAAGAACATGGCAAATAAGTGGAACTGAAACTGGTAAGACTCAAAAACGATTGTGAGAATTGTGAGCAGCTGATGGAGAGAAAAATCTGCTCATTTGCTTCCCAAGATGAAAAGTCATCTTCTATGTGTTTCAACATAAACCTCACTAATTTACTTTAAAGTCTTCACAGTATTGACAATCCTGATTTAGAATTTTTCAATCAAAAATGTAAAACTGAGAACTGTTGATCAATATTACAGGCAGCTAATCACCATTTGACTACTACCACAACTAACTGAACAAACCTAAAATCTGTGGAAATTTTACAAGCAAGTATTAACTTCAGTTAAACAACAAAACTGGCAAAAGGAATGTGAATTTGAGATAACAGACTATTGTTTCTCAAAGAAAAATAATTCTTCTATGAACTTTTACCCATTGAAGTGAAAGAGGAAAGCACTGATAACTGAAAAGATTCTGCGAAGTGAGACTTTTCAGTGCCATTGCCAACTAAACACATGTCCTGGTTTCAGCCAGGATAGAGTTAACTTCTTCTCAGTAGCTGATACAGTGCAGTGTTTTGGCTTCAGCACAAGAATGGTATTGATAACGCCCAGGTATAACACTGATATTTTGGTTTTCTGCTAAGTTGTGTTTATCTAAAGTCAAGGACTTCCCTTTCCTTGTCTCATGCCCTGCCAGTGAAAAGGTATACAAAATAAACTTGGAGGGAGCCTGGCTGGGACAGGTGCCCTGAACTTGCAAAGGAATATTCCACACCCCAGAATATAAATTGGGGGGAGTTACCCAGAAGAATGCCCAATCTGGGTTCAAGAATCACGAGTCTGGCATATGGCATTGCACATCACTTATTTTTTGCGTTACTACTATCATTTACCACTATCACTGTATTTTACTTCACTTTAGGTTATTAAACTGTTTTTATCTCAGCTAACAAGTTTTGATTCGCCTCCCCATTCCACTGGTGTTTGGGGAGGTAAAAAGAGGGTTGAGCAAGCAGATGCATGGTGCTTAATTTCCAGCTGGGCTTAAAACCACTACAACATGTTACTAATTATTTAAACTTCCATCTCAGGCTTCCCCAGAAGCTGTCAAAGACGCAGTTAATTTTAGGAGCACTCTATTTGTCCTCAACAGCTACAGAAGAGCAAAGATCAATCCCTGATTACGCCACTAGAACTAGAGATCTGGTTAAAAAACTTGATCTGGTTAAAAAAATTGCGGTCTTCCTTTTACTCCTAACATAACCTCCAATGGAGGGCAAAATGAAACTTAAGAAGTAGTAACTGAATGGCCTCTCCCTAAATATGAGACTCTTAATTAAAATGTTCAAGTCCAGTAGTACATGTTGAACATTATTAGAAGTACAATGCTTTACAGTAACAATAATTCAACATGGATCTTGGCCTCCCTGTGCAGGAAAACATGTTCAGAATCATTTAGTTGAAGATGCTGGCATAATACAATAATGATCTGCCAAGTGGTCTTACTTTCATATCTGAAAACAAATGAATTAATTTTTGTATCCCAAACTGAAGCTGCCACCTAAGAAAGCAAAACAAAGACAGCAAGTTGGACTTTACACACAAGATTGAAAATTAAGGAAGAGAAAATGCCATCATGCTAAACCTTTGAAGCACAGCATTTCCATTCCCTACTAAAATCATGCAGAAAAAAAGCACACTCCACCTAACAGTCCTGAAACACATTTCAAATATTCAAAAACACAGCACTGCCAGCTTCATTATCAGCTGACAGAAAAGGGAAAGCCAATACAACCCTCTGATCACCTGTGACGAAGTTAAAAGAAGAAAGGCTTTTGTACTCATCTGTAAAATATGCACATAAAAAGATTGTGTGTATATATATATATGTGTGTGTGTCTATATATATATACACACATATGAGTCAGACCAAGGTCCAGGGTCCTGTTTCTGACAATGGGCAGATTGCGCAGGGGAACGGTAAAAACAGAGTGGTTACAGAGTGATTCTTGCCTGGCTTTGACAGCCAGTAACTTTGGAACCTTGCAAGCCACAGTTTATATAAGTGGGCAAGCATGTAAAATAGTTCAAGGCACCTATCCCACCTTAATATCGTCAAATGGTTTTTTTGACTGCATTTATACCTCTCTTTTTGGTAGTATTCTGTGGCAATGAGTTCCACAATATAATTGGGACATATATGAAATAATACTGTCTCTTTCAGTAGAGATCTCCTGCCTGATAATTTAAACTTGATGCCCCTTAGGTTCTCTATTATGAAAAAGGCAAAAACCCATTTCCTATTCATCTTCTCTTCACCTTTCATGATTTTATAGATTTGTCATATTCCTTCCTCAGCCATCTATTTTCCAAGCTGAAGAATCTTTGTTTAATCTTTCTTTGCCTGAAAAGAATTTCATGCCTGTGATCATCCTTGCAACCCTCCTCTGTACTTCTTTTTAATTCTTCATATCCTTTTTGATATGGTGTCCAGACTTCATGCAGTGTTTAACATGAGGGCCCACATAATGAGTGGAATGACGATGTTTTTCTGTTTTGTTCTCAATACCTCATAATTCCTAACATCCTATTTGCTTTGAGGATTTTTGTCTGCCATTGAGCACTCACTGATGTTCTCAGAGAACTACTCACAATCACTCCAAGCTCTTCCCTGAGTTGTAATAGCTCATTTAGAGGCCACTGTTGTGTTTACAGAGTGAGTTATCTTCCCCATAATTTCATATTTACCAGAACTGAATCTCCTGTCATTTAATCAGCCAGTTATTTAGCATCAATAAATAATTTCCCAAGTCATCATAATCAGCTTTAGGTTTAACTATCCCAAATAATTTTAGAAGGAAAAAAAAACAGAAGAGTTTGTTAGCTTGTATTAATTCATTTTTTCCTTTTGCTTACAGCTATGTCAGGTCTTAACAGCATTTCACAGGTAACAGTTTATTTCATGTGTAAAATACAAACACCTTTCTCCCCTTCTAACCAATTAACTCTCAGGGGGACTACTTTCTCCTGTGCTTTCTAAAAGCATTTAAGTTTGTTGATAGTTCACTGGAAATATCTGTACTCTTTTATTGACAAGATTTTTCTCCTTCATGTGATCTCTGACTACTGCAATGAATTCTGGATTTTTTTTTTAAGAAACTTGTACTAATTTTCCCCAATTTTCTGTTGTTATTATTGTTGTTGTTGTTGTCATTGTTATTGTTGTTGTGGTGGTGTTGTTGTTGTTAGCTGATTTTGGCAGTAAGTTAAATACAAAGTGGTTGTTCTGCAGCTTCATGTTTGACTTCTTATAGAACCCTAGGTTTTAAAAAAAACTCATCCTGGAATTTATTTATTGTACAGTATATTAACTTGTCCTTGGTCTCTATTAATATGACAAATTTCAAACCATTGCTCAGAATTATATCCTGTCTAGAAAAAAAAGTTAATTGTGTGGGAACTGGACAAGTGGTATTGCAATTAATTATATCAGGATTTCTTATTTGACCTTGGTGTTCATTTTAGCTGCAGTTCATCTACTACCTTATCAGCTCTCTTTTATTATTGACCTTTACAACTCTATCAAGCTCCTCAAATTTGGCTTTTCTGAACTTCCAGTGATTTTACATGTAACTTACCAACACTTACACTCTCTTCTAGTCACATCCTAAAAGCTGTTTTATTACTTTTACTAGTGTCCTTTACTAGTTTCAACTAGAGGCTTTTGTGTCTTTATTTGCCAGTCTGTCAGTGGTGATTTAAACCTAGCTTTTACACAGCTTTAATTTTTCACTTTTGTATATGCCTTCATAACCTATTTTTGACTGTGGTGAGGGCTGGCAACACATAACAGCCATTTCTGAAAAATGGTGTTCATATCTCATGTGAATTTTTCCACAATGCTCACAATTACCCACCTGTGTATTTTGTGCTTTCTTATTTTGCTCCAAAATGCACTTAAATTATGACACTTCACAGAAGCTGAAAGTAATATATTTGAGAATAGCTTACATTTTATTACTGAACACTGTATCCATTGTCACTACACAATTTCTAAATACAAGAAATTAATCCAAAAGTGGGAACTAGCCAGGACCATTCGTCTTCCAAGCCAAGAAACCCGAACCTTAGAGCCAGGCAGATGAATCACCACAGGTGTGACATAGGTGATGGAGGTGCTGTAGCACTTATCCCGAGTTTCTTCATCTTCATGCTTGGGAGCTAATTGATCAGCTTTAGCACTGCTCTACGTATATGCATATTCTTCATATTCTTTTTTAGGAATCAAAGAAAGTCCTATAGCCTTAAAATCCAGGCACTTTGAAGTTTATAAAAACCAACTTCACTTTGAAGTTTATAAAATACAGCTTCATGGTTTCACAGACGAAGTGTGACATGGCTTGAGAAGTCTTTTGATATGTTGTCTTTCTGGAAGTACTTTTTGGACCAAAACTTCACCAAGAAAGAAAATTAGCCAAAAAGCTGGAGATTGTAACTAGCACTGCGCCAGGCAGACTGTCATGACGAACCCAATCCTATGCCTGTCTACACAGAAAAATCTGAAGTGGGGAAATAGTATCTCAGCCTTGGCTCGCAGGGCATTGGCGCAAGCACCAGGCTGGGAGTACTGCCCTTCGATTTCTCTGCGGGCTTTGTAGCTCAGCTCCTTCTGCCATGACCATGAAACACTGAAAAAGCCCTTGTAGGAAACCATAAGTAGTTTGGTCAGGTCATCAAAATATTCCCTAAGCAACATTTAGAGAACGGAAATGGGAACAGTGAAATGTTGCAGAACTATTAAGGCAAAAGATTCTCCTTCCATAGCCTAAACAGGTTTTCCTTTACTGAATATGAAGGTTCCTCTGAGAATGACAGCAATTCAAGATTTCAAAGAGCACAGAAATAATCCTTCATAATGATGGAAAATCTACATAGTGCTGTCACACCCCAGTCTCCCCTGCACTCTCCAATAGAGAATATAAAAATACCTGAACATCATCATATCACATCACATGTATTTATAAACACTCTGATATGTGGGGGAGCACTACATCTTTCCAAGGGTTAATTAAATATTTTCACTAAGCAACAAAAGCACTTCATATTACATACATATTAAAAATTACTGAAAAAGCATTTTTAAAAAATGACTGAAGAATATTTTACTGATACTGAATGTGAGTGTAGTCTGCTGCCTGCAAAGACATTTCTGTTCTCTACATCCAGCTGTAGACATCTCAAATATCCACAAATACTTTTCAGAAAGCTTATGGCGCTCCTATTAAAAGCACCACATTTTGAAAATTCTGGTACCTGGTAAGGTAAGTGTTATAAATATGAACGAGACCAAACTTTCTCAGGAGAAAGAGGTTCTCATTTATTTAAACAGCTACAAGGAACGGAATGCCCAGGATAGGCCCAAGCACTCACACAGCGACTCAAAACCAGAACAGTACATTATCCCCAGACGTACTGGGCTCTCCCCACAAAACAAGCTTCCAAAAAGAACCAAGCCCCATCGAACTTCCCCCTTTTACAGCCCACTTTGAATCCAGGATTTGGTGGATTTTGGATCCGTGCGGTGATTGGTCCATTTCCAGGCTTCTCACTGGTCTTTAACGCTGTTTGTTCTGGACCAATCATTTCTGCAGGGCATTGAATGATTGGTCAGACCTTCCATCCAATCTTCTTCAACCTCACTCTGCCCCACTGGACTGCCCTTACACCAAACCCCGGACCCTTCCTCCAGCACATTCTAACAACTCCAACTTTTAACATAACACAATTAATACAATATAATTGAACTCTAATTTAACATAACTTAACTTTTACTTATACTATAAGGAACGTTCAGTTGGAGAAATCAAACACGAGAAGTGAGGTGGAACGTATACACATGCAAAATGCAAAGACAGTGTCCTGAAACAATGCCCTGCACAGAGCCCTGGCACACCTTGTCTTTATATGAATATAGGATCACAGGATATGCTGGGTACATATTAAAAAAACTATGCCCTTGGAAATGCCCTTATACTTACTGGAAGAGTTACTTTCTTCAAGTGGCATTCGTTCTGCAGTAGTTCATAAATGTATTTAGTAATGATCTGGAAGAAAAGAAAAAATAGAAATGCCATCAGATACTACAACACATACAATAATGACATACACAGGCAGACAACTTAAAGGCTAATTGGTTAAACTTCTAAGTACTTGTATATGTTTTGCTACTTTCCTGAATCCTCTACTGTGTAAGTAATTATAGGACTTGGAGCTTTAGACGTAAAATTCTCTACGTTTCACAGAAAAGACTTCTTGCCACTACAATGGGAGGGTAACTGTACCTGTGAGTCCATCATGCACTACTGTGTGCATAATTAGGTGAATAACCTCAAAACTAAGGTTTATAACCAATTAATATATACTCAGGGGGTAGAAGAAAGGCTATTATTGTAAAGAAATACTTGTAAAGCATTTTGTCTACTAGCAGATTTCTGGAATTCTCTCACCTCCAGGTTCACTTCATGAGAGCAGATTTGTAGCCACCCTCTGCTAAGTTACCTTGCCATTTCTACTCACTGAACAGGGGAGGTATGGGTCAAAGATGGCTAAATAGAAGAAAACACCATACAGATTGCCCACTATGGGGGTGTTTATGTCTGTTTTCCCCATACAGGAATAAAATTGACATTTCAATCCTGAAAACAAAGGTATTGTTTCAGAAAGCAACAAATTGAAGAAAGAAAAAAAACCAAAAACCAAACAAAACACCAAAAAAAGCCCACAAACAAAAAAACTCCAAACAAACAAAAACAACATAAAAACCCAAACAAAACCACAAAACCAAAACCCATCAGAAAACAAAAAAGTTACAAAACCCACAAACTACACAAAAATCAACCCTGTTGCAACAAAAGACTTGCCCTCTTAAATGTAATAAAGTTGTTCACATTTCAAATTCTTGTCTCCTAATCTAGGGACATTTTTTTTCTGCCCTTATATATTCTAAGAAAAATGGAGACGCAGATTAAGTAATTTCTAACTATAATTAATGTGGGAATTAAAGTGAGGAACAAACAGGCACTTCATCCATTTGAGGTTGTAAAAATGGGGTGGACATTACTGCCTGGATTTCAATGGCTATAAGAGTTTGAAAAAAAAATGAAGGCAAATTAAAAAGGTAAAATACAGGACTCATTTTAAGAGGCTGAAATGGTGCTTATCTTCTCTCTAAAGCTCAGGGAACGGTATTTAAATTCCAGACAGTACAAGATCTAAGTCTCAGAATAATAATCCAAGAATATCTGGGTACAAACCAAGAAAATATTCTTTAGATTACCACCTCAAGACCACAATTACATCCATCTGAACCCACAGTATATTAAGCCCCAATAGAAACATCGCTGTTACAAAGGTCTCAAGCGATGGCATCTTAACTAAACACTATCATCCAAGCAAGTAGGAGCCAGGGTGTCATAAACTTCAAATTTCATTTTCCAAATGTACAATTACAAAAAGAAGTTTCAATGAAGTCCAAAAGTTTTTATTACGTAAATGTGAGGAAACACAATATGCAAATGTTTGGAACACATATGAACAAACTGAAGTACCAATGAAAGCTAATTAAAAATGTTGGTATATGCCCCTCCTTTCCCTTCTCTAAAACCCCAAATCTTTATTAGGGTTATAAGAATTCTTTCTGATCCTGCTCAAATACATTTATTGGTAGAATTATTTCAAAAAACTTTATGGTTTACAGAAAATCAGTCCTTCTGAACATTATTATCTACACAGAAACTGCATTTGGAGAAGGAATTCAGCTGCAAGTGATGAGTTGATTTAAGACATGTTTATCCCCAAAGCAGTATGCTTGGAACACGCATACAGTGTAATTTTATCTTCAGGGCCAAACTTTTTATGGTTCACCAAAATCGACTGCAGTGTAACACCAACCAGTAAAGCAGTTAAGTTCCTGCAGTCTCAAATGCTAATGTTGTACTGACATTAAAGTGAGTATAATGATAACACGGACTACAAAATAGAAATTTTGTTTTTAACTCTCAATTCAGGCATCTACTCACCATTAAAATCACTAAAAGAAAACTTGGAAGAGAAAAACTGCTATGCAGAAAATATACTTTAGACACCACTTGTGAAAGTCTACCCTTTTTACATCTGTTTGCATCTATTTCTTCTATTCTTTCTCATTTATTTAGACTTGTGTCTTCAGAGCAGAAATAAACCTTTACTCATTTTTTCCACATCCCATCTCAATGGGGCTGTCATTCTAACTGACTCTTTAAGCACTATTCTAATACAATAAAGAGCAATACAGCCTTAAAAATGAGTGTTGAATCAGTAGAACACTCTGGTGTGCCAAAGACTTAACCTAATGAATGCTTTCAATAAAAGCAAACATAAAGAAAGATACAGGAGGAGGAGGCTCACATGCTAAGTCTGAGATTATCATCTTCAGACAGCTCAGCACCTGGATGCCCTGAATTGCCCAGGGAGATTTCAGGAAAAAACACCATAAAAAACCCCCTCAAACAGAACAACCCCTAAAACTGCCCCACTACATATATATATATGTATGTATAATGTGTGTGTGTGTGTACATAGCCACAGAATGGGTTGAAGGCTTTTTTTGCAGTAGATCAACATGTTTAGGGATATCCTAGCAATGGATGGTACACTATCAGTCTTAAATGACGGAAACTGATACACAAGATTTCTTGAAGTGCCATCCAAGTCCAAAGTTTTCCAGATTTGAAAACATCACTAATGGTCAGACTTCCTGCATTTTACCATAGATGTGTCTGGGAAACTTGACAAAATTTGGTCCTGCCTAGGAAAATCTAGCAAAATTCTGTCCTATCTAGGAATATGGGTGCAAGTACTGAAAATGCTATACATCCAACACTATCTTTCGATTTTTATGCTTTTAACAGCTCCTTCTGACTTTATGGCTGATGATTAAAAAAAGAAAATTATTAAAATACCTTTCCTACAGGAAGCAAAAAGAAAAGCAAACCGTGTGTTATTTTTTATATAGAACTAGTTAGACTATTTCAAATCTATACAATTTATATAGCCACAGCTTCTCTAGTAGCAGTATTATCTTGTGCATGCTAGTGTTCTACATTTAACATCTGAAAACTATTGTAGAAACTACTGTAGAATGTTGAGAAGTGTCTTTTGACTTCTTGCATGAGTAGGTGGTTCTGGTTACACTCTATGAACTATCCTGGAATAAATACTGCTGTCACACAGCTGCTCATCACTGCAGGTGTATTGTGACAGAGGCTGATCAATTCAGTCCTGCATCAATAAACTATCTGAACTATCAAGCAACAAATTGTTTAGATCCAGAGATTCTTAATGCAAACTGTAACACTTACTCGAGAGCCCTATTCACGTTAGTCATGCTAACCTGGGATAGCTGTACTTTTTCTAAGGCTCTTGAAACAGGTTAAGGTGTGCCAAAGCTGTAAGCAGTATACTGCACTGTAATACAAGGTAAGAAGGTGGCCAGAGAGCAGGCATCACTGTATCCAAGACTGCAAAGAAAGAAGAACCAATAGTAAGCCCTGCCCACAGTTTATGAAATTAATTGCCTGATAAATGGAGAAGAAACTGACAGTTTTGTATTTCTTGTATGAGATACTGAAAGATTCCACCTCATATTAGAGTATTTCTGTACTTCATTCATATCCAAGTGCCGTCTATCAGGAAAATACATCCCAAATAAGACAAATATCTGAAATTAAAACTATCAAGGTGTTCTTACTGACTGTTGAGCGAACTGGAGGAAGGGAAAAAAAAAGAAACACAAATACAAAAAAATTCCATGCCTCTCATGACCTGCTCTGATAGCAAGGGAGACATCCTTTCCATGGAAAGCCTAACACTTTGACTGTCCAAAAAAGCACTCAAACTGAATAATAGAGGAAATTTTCTTCCCAGACCAAAGCACTCTTGTCTGGAAGGATTCTACATTGCTTGCATTTTAAATTGCTCTCATTGACCAGAGGAGCCCACGTTCTGCTTTCCCTAAGCCTGAGAAACTTCTGCCCTAAATGAAATCACAGCTATTCTAATTTTGTTGCACTAAAAAAATTCCCATAATGAAGGCAAGCTGATGAGAGCAGGGATCACAGCTGAGTAGAACACATCCTGGGCACTAAAACCAAGTATATTATCCTTGGTATATTAAAAGCACAAGTATCTAATCTCTGCTGTCATTTCTTTGTTGTAGTTTTCCTTCAGCTATGGTGAACAAGGTTGAGAGCCTTAATACATATGGTTCAGGAGTGGAACCAATCTTCAGTGCTCACAAGTGCCTTTCTGAGGAGCTTAAAATAAGTCAGTCATGATTTATGTTGGATATAACAGAGAATCCCTCCAGAAGTACCTTTTCAAACTGCCAGTGGTCTCAAATACATAATATGCAAAGTCCAATAGCCTTATGGATAACTGGGGGATGTCATGACCAGTGAGCCTTCATATGGATCCAGAAAACAGGCTATTTTAATCACAAAGAAATTAAATTTAATGTCTTGGACAGAAAGCAAAAAGAACAGAGAGAAGCACATTATCTTATGACACACCTGAGGTTTTACCCTTGCATTGTGAAACATTCTGCACAATGATAGCAGGAATATAATGCTACATACACTCTGCAGAGCAAAAGTGAAACAACAGTTGGAAACCTAGCTCTGGTATACACCAGATATGTGGTTTATGGGTTCTGGTATACATATATATGTAATATATTAATATTACAAGTGTAATATTAATTAATTGGTAAGATCCTGGCTTCCTACAACATATGTTATTTTGAGACTACGGTTCATAGAACTTTCTTACAGATTGTTTTCAATGACCAAAAGCATTAAGAAATTTTGTTATCAGTCTAATTTGTGAAATCTTTGCAATACAGCATTCTGAAACTACACGATCAAAAGATTCATACCTGTATAGAAGTATGTGAAAACAGAAATTAAAGACTAAGAACCAGTGACAGCATGTTTAAAGTTCCAAAAATCATAAAGGTACTGAAGTCTAAATACAATTAAAAGTGGAGACAGATACCAAAGAGATACTT